CTGGCCAGGCCTGGGGCCCTCTCTGCCGCCTGCGTCCGGGGGTGCCCGGGGAACCCCGGCTTTATGCGGGGCTGGGGTGCGAAGCGACACCTTTGTGACCGCCTGGAGGTGTCAAAACCTACAGAGCCCGGCTGGGACCGGCCGGGAGCCTGGGAATGCTGGACCCATTTGCAGAGGTGACAATTCTGACTCCTCCGACTCTTAATTGGCACTGCCCGGCGCTGGGAAGTGTGCGGGGACCAATTCACACGGTCGTGAGAGATGCTAATGTGTCCACCAGCCCTACCAAGAGCCCCCCAACCCCTCACAGCAGCTCTGCCAGGGGACAGTGGAGACTTGACCCTGGCAGCCAGCCCCAACGGGCTCTCTGTCCCCCCCTCCCCCAGCCCAAGGATTGGGGTTTCCAGAGGTGCTCCCGGTCCCAACCCCCACCTTGGGAGGCAGGGGGATGCAGCAGCCAGGCTGGGGGACCAGTGTGCTCCCTTCCTGGGGGTGTCCCTGTAGCCTCCTGTGCCACCTCAGTCCCCCTGATCCCGGGGGTTGCATCTCAAGTCACAAGTGTCAGAAGGAGAGGTAACAGCCTGAAGTAGCCCAGAGGAGGTTTAGATTGGATATTTGGATCAATTTTTTCCACAAAGGGTTGTCAGGCCCTGGCCCAGGCTGCCCCGGGCAGGGGTGCAGTCCCCATCCCTGGAGGGATTTCAAAGCCCTGTAGATGTGGTGCTGAGGGACATGGGGCCTTGGCAGGGCTGGGTTAACAGGTGGGACTGGATGATTTTAAAGGTCTTTTCCAACTGGAATGATTCTGTGACTCTGTGATATGGGGGGTTCCATCCCACGGGAGGGGTGAGGGGCTGCGGGCTGTGCCTCGGGGGCTCTGACCCCATGGCTGGCGCTGTCACGGCCCAGACGCGCTCCAGCACTTGTCTAAACACAGAGGAGGTGGGAAGAGGCTGCGCAGCGGGGCCGCAGGACTCATTACCCGGGAGCTCATCAGCTAATGAGACC